TTTAGGAGACAATAACTACATTTTTCATGCACTTTGATCTTTGAAACTTTGCAGACCTTTTACATTTGCAAACAACTCTATTACAGTCTACATGAAAGGTAATATTCACTGGTGCAAGAGCATACAGTCTTTTGACTGTGCACATGGAGCTAGGATGGCATTGTGCAACAAACCTGCGAGCGGCCTTTAAATTGTTTGATTTATGTTGTGATTCATCTTGATTTTGATTGAATAAACTTCAGTTATTGTTTGAAACATCAACGGGCCTCTCTGGATCTATTTAAGGAACCTTGCACACGTCAGGATTACTGCATCAACATCTCCCAAAGTGGCTAAGAAACAAGAGAACAAAATTGAAAATATTAAAACTTGTATTTACCAATACAGGCACTTTAAATAACAATGTATGTTTATTTCAGGTTGTTTTTTTCAGGTAAAGTGGACAGTGCCACAGTGCATCTCTAAGGCACTTTAAAAAAAAGTATACTTATCCCTATTAAAAAAGTGTAATATTATTATACATAATTCGTATTATTAATATGAATAATTACACAAACTATAGCCTTTCCATTAGCGTTTCTACATTCATCCTCGACTTCTCCAGATTAATTGCACTAAACTGTCAAGCTACATTTCATTTTAAGCACTTTATAGGTCCCTGTAAAAATGCACAGAAGTGCAGCAGTGTATAATAATTCATAAAGTGCTTATTAATAGTTTAGTATCTTTGCAGGTGGGTCCGAATACAGATGCATATGTCAGCTAGCCCGCATGTTCTTGTACTGTTGCTGTATAATCTGAGCCGAAGCGTCCCGTACCTCGACTGCTGTTCGTTCGGGGGGTATGTGAGTGGAATGGCTAAAAGATGCACCACATATTTGTCTTCTAGGCATGATTGGAGCTGGATTTATGGGCTGGAGGTCAGAGTTACTCACTGCCATCGTCATTATAGCGTGTGCTTTTTGCACCAGGCTGATGAAAGATCTACTTTTACACTTATTCATTTTGCAGATGCTTTTATCCAAAGTGATTTACAAACGAAGGATATTAAAACATGCAATTAATTGAAAATTGCGAAGAGAACTGCAGAACAGGGAAGATTAATGATTAATTAAATGATTAATGATTAATTGAATGATTAATAATTGTTTATTGTTTAAAAAAAATACTAAAATCATTGTATAGATTTGAATGCATTTCTGTGTTTTCTCTGACAAAATTGAATGTTTTTTATAACAGTAAAAACAGTATAAGGGGATGTTACATGTGTCCTGTGTTTCCCCCTGCTTTGTGTTTTGGTTCAGTCCTGTATCTCAGTTTTCCCGCTCCTCGTTTGTGTTCAGTTCCTCCACCTGTGTTTAGTTAATTTGCCCCAGCTGTGTCTTGTTCCCATGATCCGTTCACTGTGTATGTAAACCCTGTGTTCTCCTTCACTCCTTGTCGGTTCTCGTTCGTATGTATTTGGTGTGGTAAATGTTTCCTGGATTCCTGTGTTAAGTTTATTGAGTAAAGATTATTGAGTTTGATCTGCTGACTGCTGCCTCTCCTTCAACCTGCACCACACCCGTAACAGAAGAACCGACCTTAACATCGATGGATGCAGCAGTCCAAATCCTTCTCCTGTCCCAGGAGGATCAGTCCCTCGAGGCCCACACACAGAGGTATTTGGACTTGGTACCTCTAGTTCATTATGATGACACCAGCCTCTGTGTGTTCTTCCGGGCAGGCCTAAACGCTGAGACCAAAGCATGCCTGCCCGGAGATGGGCCTCGAATGAACTTCGCGGCGTACATAGAGTGGGTGCTGGTGGCTTGTGGATCGCCGCTCACAGTGGGCCCCACCGAGCCAGAGACCGTCCAGCCTGAGACCGTCCAGCCAGAGCTTCACGTCAGCCACGTCCAGCCAGAGCTTCAAGTCACGCCAGCCATCAGGCCTATCACCGGATCGGTCTCGGGGCGCCCAAGACTAATGTCCAGTGTGATGGACCCACCGCTCATGTCGACCCGGAGGGCCAAGAAGACCATCATGCCTGGGTCTTGTCCCACAGAGCCTTCACCGCTGGTTCCGTCCAGCCCAGCCAAGCCCGCACCGCTGGTTCCGTCCAGCCCAGCCAAGCCCTCACCGCTGGTTCCGTCCAGCCCAGCCAAGCCCGCACCTCTGGTTCCGTCCAGCCCAGCCGAGCCTTCACAGCTAGTCCCGTCCAGCCCTGCCGAGCCTGAGCTTCCCTGCAGCCCTGCCGAGCCTGAGCTTCCCTGCAGCCCTGCCGAGCCTGAGCTTCCCTGCACGCCTGCCGAGCCTGAGCTTCCCTGCACGCCTGCCGAGCCTGAGCTTCCCTGCAGCCCTGCCGAGCCTGAGCTTCCCTGCACGCCTGCCGAGCCTGAGCTTCCCTGCAGCCCTGCCGAGCCTGAGCTTCCCTGCACGCCTGCCGAGCCTGAGCTTCCCTGCACGCCTGCCGAGCCTGAGCTTCCCAGCACGCCTGCCGAGCCTGAGCTTCCCAGCACGCCTGCCGAGCCTGAGCTTCCCTGCACGCCTGCCGAGCCTGGGCTTCCCTGCACGCCTGCCGAGCCAGAGTTTCCCGTCACGCCTGCCGAGCCTGAGCTTCCCTGCACGCCTGCCGAGCCTGAGCTTCCCTGCACGCCTGCCGAGCCTGGGCTTCCCTGCACGCCTGCCGAGCCAGAGTTTCGCGTCACGCCGGCCGAGCCAGAGCCTTCTCCGCTGGTCCCGTCCAGCCCTTCAGAGCCTTCTCCGCTGGTCCCGTCCAGCCCTTCAGAGCCTCCTCCGCTGGTCCCGTCCAGCCCTTCAGAGCCTTCTCCGCTGGTCCCGTCCAGCCCTTCAGAGCCTTCTCCGCTGGTCCCGTCCAGCCCTTCTGAGCCTTCACCGCTGGTTCCATCCAGCATAGCCGGGCCTTCACCGCTAGCCCAGCCAGAGACTTTCCACGTCCCGTTTGTCCACGTCCCAGAGCCTGTCCCAGAGCCTGTGATTCCCCCCAAGAAAGTTTTGGGGGGGGGATATAGGCCACCTGAAGGTGCGTCTCCGCCATGGCCGCCCAAGGTGCGTCTCCACCATGGCCAACTGAAGTGGCCTCTCCACCATGGCCACCTGAAGTGGCCTCTCCACCATGGCCACCCGAGGGACAGTCTCCACCCTGGCCACCTGAAGTGGTCTCTCCACCCTGGCCACCTGAAGTGGCCTCTCCACCCTGGCCGCCCGAGGGAAAGTCTCCACCCTGGCCGCCCGAGGGAAAGTCTCCACCCTGGCCGCCCGAGGGAAAGTCTCCACCCTGGCCGCCCGAGGGAAAGTCTCCACCCTGGCCGCCCGAGGGAAAGTCTCCACCCTGGCCGCCCGAGGGAAAGTCTCCACCCTGGCCGCCTGAGGGAAAGTCTCCGCCCTGGCCTCCTGCACATCCTGCTCCGCCCTGGCCTCCTGCACGTCCTGCTCCGCCCTGGAGGCTTCCTGCTCAGGGTAGGCCACGCCCTCGTCAGCCTCCAGGGCGCCCGCCCCCCCACCCCTTTTGAAGTTATACGGCGCGAGGACGCGCCTTTTTGGAGGGGGCGTTATGTTACATGTGTCCTGTGTTTCCCCCTGCTTTGTGTTTTGGTTCAGTCCTGTATCTCAGTTTTCCCGCTCCTCGTTTGTGTTCAGTTCCTCCACCTGTGTTTAGTTAATTTGCCCCAGCTGTGTCTTGTTCCCATGATCCGTTCACTGTGTATGTAAACCCTGTGTTCTCCTTCACTCCTTGTCGGTTCTCGTTCGTATGTATTTGGTGTGGTAAATGTTTCCTGGATTCCTGTGTTAAGTTTATTGAGTAAAGATTATTGAGTTTGATCTGCTGACTGCTGCCTCTCCTTCAACCTGCACCACACCCGTAACAGGGGAAGGCTTTTTGATTAATTTTAATGTTAAAATAAATTTTTAGATGTTGTAGATGTTATTTTGTTTTCGCTTTATTTTGAGAGAAATTATTTTAGAAAAGATTTTTTAGTATCTTTTTTATTGTCATGGTTTACATTTACATGTATTCATTTAGAAGCTTTTATAAAAAATTACTTGACTTAAAATGATTGTATTTTAATATATTTGTATGCAAATTATAATATATTGAAATATATATTTTTATTTTAATCAATTTGAATGCATTTGTTTTTTTGGCTTTGTTAGATTTGAATGAATTTTTTTTTCTTATTTATAACACTATAGTAAAACGTTAGATTATTAAGCAATAGGCTTTTTATTTAATTTAATTTTAATTTGGTTCATAATACACTGAACCAACATTTGTAACAGCAGCAAAACAGTAAGTTATATTTTATATATATATATATATATATATATATAAGGAAAATATATATAAGAAATTTTACAAATATTTTATATTATACTTTATGTTTTATTTGATAATTTGACTGAATTGTGACCTTGAATGGAAAGGCAAGTGCTCCTATAGTTAACCAGCAAACTTTTCTTTAAAAAAGAAAGAAAGAAAGAAGTCGAGATGTAATTTCCCCACAGCATGAGTGGTTGTGTCTGGGCATATAAGCGATGGGTGTGGTTAGAGAGAGAGAGAGAGAGAGAGAAAGAGAGAGAAAGAGAGAGAAAGAGGAGCAGGTGTGTCTGGTTCTCTCTCTCTCTCTCTCTCTCACTCTGTCAGCCCCCTGTAAGGCTTCATTTCTCTCCTCCGACTCCATGATTGCATGTCATCAGTGCTTCTCCTTAATCAAATCTGCAGTGCTGGTCAAACTCAATCCTGCCGACACTTCCTCTGTCAGCACGAGCTTAATGAAACTGACTGAACACTGATGATGTGTCTGTCTCAAGTGACATACTCTATGAATGAATATTTTGTTATGCAGCGCCATCTTGCGGTCAATCTAGTATAATAGTATAGTTATACTATAATATATATATATATATATATATATATATATATATATATATATATATATATATATATATATATATATATATATATATATATATATTATATATAGTATAATAGTGGTCACCCGGCCTCTTTACTTGTACAGGTGGTCTGAAAGTCACTCTGTGTCTGTTCGCTTCCAGAGTTTCATGGAGATCCGGTCGGATGACAGCTGGAACTGTGGTTATAACTGGAGGAATTCTCGCAACGGTGATCCTCCTGTGTATCATTGTTGTGCTGTGTTACTGTCGCCTTCAGGTGAGCGCCATTGACACCTGTGGTTTTAAATCATAAAAATAAAAAAAAAGATTTGATGAATTTCTTAGGCCTTAATAGCCTTCTGTTTATTATCACTGAACATCCTTTTATTTATTTACATTTCTTAACATTACATTTTATATTATTATTTTACTTTTTGTCTGTTTAAATAGATTTGAATGAATAAATTGTTTTATTCAAAAGAAGCAGCAGATGATTAATGATTTTTGTATTTGATATACTATAACAATAGTGAAACAGTACGATGTCGATTTTTTTCATCTAAATATTATATTATTATTATTAAATTTTTTTGTTTTGATAAATTTGAAAGAATTTGCATTTTGTTTTTGTTGTTTTTTGATAGATTTGAGTGAATTTGGTGAAATAATTTATTTATAAAAACAGTGAATCATTAGTTTTATTTTATTTATAAACTATTACTTTTGTTTTTATTTATGTGATAACATTAGTGCAACGGTATGATGCAGATTTTATATTTTCATGTAATTGTTTTTTGTTTTGGTAGATTTAAATGAATTTCAAGCATGCATTTGTTTTATTTATAAAAACAGTGAACTATTGAATGAATTTCTTATTTATAAATAATTTATTTTTTATTCATAACAATAACAACAATTGTGGAGCAGTAGGGAGTAGTTTTTTATTTTAATTCAATTTGATATTATTTTTTATTTTTGATAGATTTAAATTAATCAGTAAATTAATTGTCTTTATTTTATTTTATAGATTTAAAAGAATGATATATTTCTCTGGGTTTGGTGACACTGAATGAAAAAGTGTGTGCTCTTATAATAAACCAGCAATTAACAAATCATTCAGATTTATTATCTGCACACCTGACTCTCTTACTACTTTGTGTGCTTCTAGTATTATTGCTGTAAGAAGAATGGCTCCGATCCAGATGCTGTTTGCCCACAACCCCAGTTCGCCTGCAACGCATGCAGCACGTCCCGTGTGGACGGGGCCGCCTCCACCCCTCTCTCCCTGTCGCCGGAGCCCACGCCACCGCAGAGCTTCTGCCCCACCTGCTCCCCATACGGCTCTCCATTTTACATCCACACCATGGACGAAACGCGCAACGGGGGCGAACGCATCACTTACGGCATGTCCCACTACAACAGCCCGTCCCTGTCTCTCACCCTTCCCTCATTACACAGTGCGTCATTGAGCTCTCGATGCCGACCGGACCTCTACTCTAACACACGTGCCATAAGCACTGATGTCTGATCAGTGACGTCCACCTCAAACACCCCTAATGTTTCTTCTGTGTAACTGAGCGGCACACACAGAACAGAGTGAATGGGGACCAAGGACAGCGAGTACTCCGTTTTTACATCTGTCTAGCAGTTCGTTGAAATCAATAATCATTTAATGTTTTATAGAAATTGATACAAATGCGTTCTTTCTGAATTTATTTGACTCTAATTAAAGGGCGAATCATCATTTACTCACCCTCACGTTGTTCCAAACCTGTAGGAGGTTCTAAAAGAAAACACTTTCTGGTTCCCATTGACTTCCATAGAATGGGGGGGGAAAAAATAATAATATGGAAGTCAATGGAGCCTATCAACTTTCCCCATCAACAATTCTTCAAAATCTTCTTTTGTGTTCAACATAAGAAAGAAATTTGAGGGTGAGTAAATGATGACAACATAATTTTTTTGGGGTGAAATATCCCTTTAACACTGAAAAATATTTTATAAATCTGTAATTTTGTCTTATTTTCAAATAAGCAGTATTAAAAACAAGATAGATGTTTATTTAGATGCATGATTAGAGTTTATGTTTTAATTTTATTTTCTTGTTTTAGTTGACTTCACTAAACTGAGTTTAGTTTAAAGTTATGAGACAAAACAATCTGGGTGTTTTCAAAAACAATTAACAAAAATAAAAAATAAAATACTCAAAAGGAGGATAGATAAAGGAATCAATTAAAAAAACATAAGTAAACAAAATAATAAAGTGTAAAAAAATAAACATTTTGAAAAACAAACATTAAATAAACAAATACTCTCTGAAGATGCGTTTGAACATCTTTTAATGGTGTTTAAATGTTTTTACTGGAAAACAAAAATATTGTTTTGCAGTGGAAGGTAAGGGCTCTTAGTTTTCTATGCGGCCTTAAACAACTGCCTGGGGCTTTTGATTTAAGGCCTTTTCAGAAATTTTTGATATTTTGGGCTTCCTGTAATGGGCTAATGTATGAGGGCTATCCTACACAAGAACTTACATATTTTGGCCATTTTCTTATTGTGCAACATTATTTTACAAACATTTAAATAATTTATTTTATTTTATTATCTGCAATGCCACTTGGTGGCGCTAGAGGTGCAGAGATTTCACCTTGAATTCAATTTCTTAGTGGTCTCTATGCAAGTTGAATTTAATAACATACTGTAGTAGGTACAGAAGAGGGATTTGAGTGATGAGATGTTTAGTCCATGACGAGATGTTTGATGTCATTTATTGTTGTATTTATGATACACTTTTCTTTTTATTACATGCAAAAATTGAATTTGTCAAATAGTCTATATAGCCTATTATGTATTTATTTGTGAACTTTCACCAAACTTTTATTTGGTCAAACAATGGCCCAGGGTGTATTCCAGTTTGAGTTTATGTAAATTTGTGATGCTAGCTTGATCATAATTTTATCTGTCAATGTTGACAGCTTTGGATGTGATGATTGAAATTGGTAGCAATGTTGATTTCTATGTTTAGGCAAATATTTTTTACTGTAATGTCTTTAGATTGTTAAGAACATAAGCAATGTTTTACAGATGAACCAGTGAGCAAATAAAGAAATAAAGAATACATATTACTCTGTGCAGTGCAAAGAAACAAAACAGTTATGATAACTGAAGGATTTAATATTCTAATAATATCTTGGCTGTACCAAGATGGTACTTTGTTATATTTTGTATTTTTCATTTTGTATTGTATTTTGTACCTTAATCTAATTTTCCCTTAAGTTTTTTGTATTTTTATTTATTGAATTATAGAGTAAATTAAATGTAATGCAATAAGTATTACACACGTGTACACACACAAAATAATATATAATTATTATTATTACTTACACTAGTAGTAATCGAAAAGCAGGTGCTCCTGTCACCTGATTCGCTGCTGACTCACCTATTTTGAAGAGGTGGGCGTGGCTCTTGCCAGCGGCGGTGATGACGTCGCCTGCGCTATGTGAATGCGGCGCGCGAGCTCTGATGAGGTTTGCGGATGTTTCTGCGTGTGCACGCGCGTCGCTCAGCTGACAGACTCACAGCAAGTAAGTTGATTTTTACCCTCTCAGGAAACTCACAACAAAGACAAAAATGACAGAAAACGTCCGCGTTGACACAGCACACGCTCTCGGGTTTCATTTATATTCAGCGTGAGCGTGTTTAAAAGCTTTTGAGGGTCCTAAGCGAATGTTTTAAAGTTAAAGTGGCAGAAAATGAGCTAATTGTTGTTTAGCAGTGGCTAGCTGGCTAAATGACTAGCTTCAGTTTAGTAAGGCTGTTAGGATGCGTTTTGTGTGTGTGGCATGAAAAACATTGTAAGGAGAACGAAACGGTTGTTAATCACCCTAATGTTGTGTTGTTTAAGGCGTTTCCTGTCTGTTATTTTGAATCTCTGTTTTGTCAGCTGGCTAATATTTTAACAGTTTTTGCTGTCATTTTCGCGTTTATTTAACGTTATCTGTTATCTGTCCTAAACAGCTGGATATGTCAGCTGGCTAAAACTGGTTTTGTTGTACTGCATATATATTGACACTAAATTGCTTAATACAAATGTCATTTCATGTGTCATTGTGCATGTGCATTTATGATATAAGTTTAGAGTTAATATGTTACCTTAACTTGAATATATATTTCAAATGTGTGCATATGATATATAATATATACACACACACACACAGCTCAAAACTTGTTTAACAAGTCATTTAGATGACTACAAGGAACAAGTATGATGTAAAATACTTTGATTTACATATTGCAAAGGAACTTTATATCAGTATTTCAGGCTTTCTAGTGTGTGTGTGTGGCTAATGTTTGAAAGGGTCCGGGATGGTTAAGCAAATATGTCAGTTTGTTTAACAACAGTGTGAAGCCAGTGCTAGCTATGAACTCTTCATCTGTGTTTTAAACTCTAAAAGCCATCACTCATCGAAAGCTCAACAGAAAATCTGTCTAGTAATTAGTCTACAATTATTGAAAATAGTTAATGTGACCATAGAAAACAAATCATTGTGAAAGCAAAGCATCATAGGTGATAGTGATTGACACTGGCTTCTGATTGGTCAATACAGCATTCCAGCGGTGCGATTAATTATTTTCATATAGCCGATTATTTCGAAATGGCTGATATTATATATCTATAATACTTAAAACACACACTTATAACTATTAAGTATTTTAAGATACTATTAGATGATGATCTAAATATTAGGTTAAAAATAGCTAGAACAATACAATATTAAATATTAGCCAATACAAAAAAATAAATACCTTATTATTATCATTTCATGTTTATTAACATTTCAGGGACTATAATGAAATTGTGTAATAAAAATAATTTGTTCAAGGAAGTTTGTTTATATATATATATATATATATATATATAATAGTTTATTATATTATGTATATGTAAAGCAAGAAGGCTTTATGTTCTATATCGTGAATAGATTTTTTTCATGTACACCAGAGAAAAACATGCTATAATTTCAGTTAAAAAAAAGAAAGAAAAAAAAGGCAAACCCTTATTTAAAAAAAAAAAAAAAATCTTGCAATCTAATATTGAAAATGTTAATATTATTATCAAATATAATGTTCATAATGTTTAGGCTACAATTCCTAAATTAAAAACTCATATGTATGCTAAAATAAATACTAAAAAGATAAAAATTAGCCCTCGCTTTATACTGCACACACAGTTTCTTACCTTATTGCTTAATTGAATAGTTCCTCTGTTTGCTCGATGCACTCTCCTCTTCCTTTTCTGCTGGGTGATGTCATCAAGGAGATTTTCTTGTATTACATCATGGCTGGCCCTGAAGGAGAACTCAGACCGAGAGACCAGTAACTCAGAGTGCACATCAGACCATTTTGAACTTTAAACGCTGTGTTGGACAGCCGGAAAAACTTGCCTCTTTCCCAACCTGTTCTAATACAGTATCTGTTTTTTGTCCTTTAATGATAGGCGTGAGTAAATACAGAAAGCATAGAGGATAAACTATTGTTTCTAGAGCCTGTTTCTCCTGCTGTGGCCTGCAGTGTGTGTGTGTACGTGTGTGTAGCTCATGCACGCCCAGAATAAGTGAACTGCACCAGTTTTATCTTGGTTGAACATCTGAGAAGTAGGCTCTGTTTAACAGAACTGGGTGGTGTTTCATACTGATCACTACAGCTAAAGGAACATGATGTCAGTTGTGTGAATGCTTGTTTGAATTTTTTTTTTTGTCTTATTGGAATGGTTTATTTTTTTTTACTGAATTTATAGTACATAACATTTATAACATCACAACATTTATTTCCATCAAGAGGTGCCTCAATTTTTGTTCAAGATGTTGTATTGACAATGCAAGAGTCCAGCACTAGTCTGTAAAGTCTCCCGCAGCACATCCCAAAAACGTTCAATGAATTTAAGGTCTGGACACAATTCATGCTTGGAAATTATTGTTCATGCTCCCTCCCAACAATGTGAGCCTGATGAATAACTGGCTAATTCCAAAATAATGACCATGGGTTTGTAATTGCTTCAATTTTGTGTCTTTCTTGGAGTTTCTGCTGTATAATTCAATTTGAATGACTAACTGGAGCAATTTGGCGAATGTCTAAGTGCGTTCTCTATTTACGTTGAGCATGGAACTGGTACATAATGAAAATGAAGGGCGCACAGAGGCCTTCTGTTAGCGTTGGGTTTTATCCTGTGTGTTTTTCAATGGCTGTAATTGACGGAGAATGATGGCCACATGACTGCTCTGTGTGTGAATGTGAAGACCCTTTCACCCACCGTGGCGTGACCCCATGACCTGAACTCAAGGAACCCACTGTAGTGTTACTGCAGTTGCTTTATCGGCTCAGTGCTGGTTAGAGTTAATCATATTCATCACTGCTGTTATGTGACAGTTACGCTTGGTGTCATTTTTGTGATAAGGTGTGATCTGACTTGTGAAAATGAGCTGTGAACATCACAGGTGGTTTAGTTGAGAGCCTTTGCTCTGAGCTACTTTAAGCTGTGAAGATGCGCTCTGACAGAGGACACCTCGATAAATGTGAGCTTGCTTGTTGAATCAGCAAAAACATGTGCGATATGCTAGATGGTTGATATCGTTTTCAGACGACACAGCTGTACTTCTTCAAAAGGGACTGGTGCATTAGCACAGATTGATTGTTAGATCCGCTTTTTTATTTATTTAGCTCCTGCCTGTCTAAACATGACTAGTATTTGAAGCTAAGATGACATGAAATGTCATGTCATAAATAATTGACCCCTTTTAACAAATTTCCCATGTCTTATTGTGCACAATTCGGTTCCCTGTTCTAAATTTCTCCACTTCTGAAGGGACTTTTCTTTTCTGCTGATGTCATCATCAAGGTCTTGCGGTCATGGGAAAATCGAAGCCTAACGATCACAATCATTACAATATTATGATGTTTTTTTTTTTTTGTAGACTTCGAATAAAAATAGATCTGTGCATTAGGCTAAGTCTTAAAGTGGTATAGACCTAGTGCCACTTGTTCTGCTACCTGTAACGTGTTTCTTTTCATTTGAGGTTTTTAATGCAATGTTTATTTAACTAAACAGTATTTGAAGACTTAGCTATTTAACAAAGCAATATTTTAAGTTTTGAACTAGTATTTAGTAAATTGACATAATTGATAAATAATATATAATAAATCTTATATTATATAATACTCTCTCTGTGCGTGTATATATAATTAATTTATTAATAAAGCAAATAAAATGGTAAATTATTGCTTTATATGATCAGCTTAGAATCTAATATATTATGCTTAGCTTATATCTAATATATTATGGAATACTATATAATAAATATAATATATTACATAATAAATGTAATAGACTATAATAATACTTTTGCAATGTAATTTGCTATTTATTTAAACAAAACATGCAATATATTTTGATTTATATCTTCAAAAATACAGTTTTAATATGCAGAAAACACAATTTAATCAATCTGTATTTGAAGTTACGTATGTTAAAGTGCCCTGCCCTGGCCTGATAGTTGGTCTTAATGATGTAATCCAGCATGTACCCAGTGTAACAAGTCTGTCTTGTTGGTAGGGTTGCAGTAGCAGCAGCGGGCCGAGTGGGTGGACTGTCCCAGGCTATCATGGATGACAGCTCCTCTCTGGGCAGAGTGAGCGGCTCAACTGAATCTGTGTCAACCGTCACCAGTGAGGAGTTTGTACTTGTGCCGCCCACCGCTGGAGGTTCCCCCTCCAGCTCAGAGGGGAGGCCCAGACTCAAGGTATCTCTTTCCACAGCCTGCTAAGCATCATTTACTATGCACACTAAGCATGCGTTACCCATTTTTTTTAATGTATCCTGAGATATCTAGAGAATAATGAGAATAATCTTGAATGTTTTACCTCTGCCTTCTCTTTGACTCAGATGTCGTGGAATGGAAGTGAGCAGTTGGAGCGGGCGATGGAGGAGGTGTTAGATGATGTTGGTGATGGACCAAAAGCTGCAGAAGAGAAAGAAAGTCCTATAGCGCTCAGCTCTCAGAACAGACCGCCCAGCCCAACTCTGGACACAGCCCCCAATGGTACATCCTGCTCGCAGTAATAAACTAAATTACTTTCTGTATTATTATTATTATTTTTATTAGTAGTAGTAGTAGTATTCATTTTCACAGCTAATTTGCCATATATATATATATATATACATATATACATACACACGTATACATACATGCACACACACACAAATTATTTTTGTTATATAATTAATACAGTTTATTTTATATTATATATTACTGTATAAATAATCTTTATATATGTATAGACACACAAAGCAGTCAATATGGTGTTGATTTATAATATCTTAAAGTGATGGTAAGTAGGTTTAAGATGCAAGATGTAGAAAAGCTATTTGAGGAGATATTTGTGAGCAAACACTGGGGTTTCAGCAGATGCCATCTAATCTAGCCCTCTAGCTATCTGCTTCCTGTTGCCAAGTGCTATAATTGGGAGGGCTCTGAACACACTTCCTCTCTACCTTGCGCACACTTCCTCATTCAGTCACTCTTGACAATGGACCTTTAGATAAAACAGGTTTTTGCAAAGCACAAGTTTATTGTTTGAGGATTGCAGTAGGATGTCGTCAAAAGAATCTAAAGAATTACTTACCATAAAACACATTTGCTCCACCTCTAAAATCTTATCTGATATGCCACTTGATTTGCATTACATCTTACAAATAAAAACCCATTTTAAAGAAGAAAAAAAGACATGTTTCGGCAACCTTGTATTGATTGACACTTTGTTGTCTGTATCCACAGAAGTATCAGCAGCTGTTTTGGAGAGTGTGACAGGACATGAGGAAGAAGACAGTGTGCAGTTCAGTAAACTGTCCTATCTCGGCTGCACCTGGGTGAAAGCCCCTCGTAACGAGACGGAGGCCCAGAAAGCCATGGCTACCCTGCGGGCAGAGAGCCCCAACCCCATCCCCATCACCCTCCATGTGCCCAACGGCCCAGACGGTTGTGTCCGGTCAGTCATTTGCCAAAAATGCACTGGGGTCCGCTAGTCTGAGACCACTGTTTAAGAAACATTCATTTTCTATTTTTCTATTAAAATTTCTTTATTTTCATTGCAAATTATATTCTAACACTGTCAGATTTAAACAAACTTTTTGAATGCTCTCTAAAGATATTTGAAGTAAACATACGATAATCCATAAGCTTTTATCCGAATGTGCACACTTTTGGGCTAAAAGCCCAGAGGGATGAAAATATAATAAAACACAGAAAGATTTATTTAGCTGTTTTATAGTTTAATTCCATATTATTAAGCTTTTACTTTGATTATCAGGTTTATGTTAATTTTTGAATCCCAGATTTTCAGTGTTTTCTCAGACTTTTGTACTCCACTGGACTCCATATTACATCAGATGCATCTCACAACCAGTTCTTATGTGTTTATTTGCACGTGTTTCCCCTGGGGCTTCATAAAAGCTTTTAGAACGAGCACATTTAGCTTTCTTGCTCTGAGACAAACCACATTCAACATTGGGAGTGTAAAATGTGACTTCTCTTTAGTTTCTGAGTCCTTATGATCTTCATGGTGTGTATTTGTCTGTCAAGAGCTAACATGGCTGTCACCTGAGCTGCTTTTAGCTCCTGCTTTCAGGTTCGTAAGTGTGGTGTAGCACTTCTGTTTTCTCACCCTGTGCGTTTTTTCTTTTTCTCAGGAACTGGTGTAACCTCAGATCGAGCATCTCACTGTTTCTCCTCCGTAAACCACAGAAATGACTCTTAAGTTAGCTAAGCAAACTTTGATGCACATGGAAAGTGCTGCTCTAATTCTAGTGACATTTTTACACCTTAACATTATTCATTGTAGTACTACTACATTTAAAATATCCTCACTACTTATTTTGACTATATCTAAATGTAAATATCCTATTTATTGTTAGTAATGGCACTATTAAAAGTGCGTTGACCTATTTAGCTGACTCCAGAAACGTTTTGTTTTTTTATATCTGTCAGTCAGGACTAAAGTTGATGTATATCATAAAAGATTTCCGATTAAGTGATGCATACTGCTTTGGGGTTTTCTTGCGATCTTATCAGGGTCGTATTGTACGATCTGACAAGCAGCAATCGCAAAATGGACTGAACAAAATGCACTCGACTTTAGTTATGAAAAATGTTTTTTATGTTTCTAATCACTCTAGGATCGTCGACCAGGCCACAGGAACAGAAATCGCATCTTTTCCCATCTACAAGGTGTTGTTCTGTGCACGAGGACACGAGGGATCTGACGAGAGCGACTGCTTTTCCTTCACCGAGAGCTACCGCAGCTCAGAGGACTTTCAAATCCACGTCTTCTCCTGCCAGATCAAAGAGGCTGTGGGTTCAGTAATGTTTCATGTTCAAAGAGTCAGTCTTGAAATGTAGAAATCAACTAAGCTCAACCTCCTTTCCTTATTTAGGTTAGTCGCATCCTCTATAGCTTCTCAACGGCCTTCAAGCGATCTTCAAAAGCTGCCACAGACATGCAAGACTCAGTGTTGCCACTTTCCCCCGATAGCGACGTCTTCACCTTCACCGTTTCTCTAGAAGTGAGAGAAGATGACGGCAAAGGAAACTTCAGGTCTGTCATTACTCACTTCTGGAGAAGCTTTAGTTCTGCCTACGTCTTGCTCTTTGTGTGTTTTTTACTGTTGCTATTCATGAACTGTTGAATTATTTTTTTGGTTTGTATTGTTTAAAAAAAATCAAAATAGAAGTGTAATCTTCTCTCTCTTACTTTTGCTTTCCCTCTCTCTTGCTCTATATCTCTTGCTCTATATCTTGCAGTCCAGTTCCCAAAGACAGAGATAAATATTACTTCAAGCTGCGGCAGGGTGTACCTAAAAAAGTGTCTGTTACTGTCCAGCAGATGTCCAACCAGGAGCTGGTAATAGAGAGGTGGGTTCTGGGATGTGGCCACCAGAGTTCAGAAATTCTGATGTTTTGCCATTTCCTTTTATTTTGCTTTAGAATGACTGCCAGGGCCTTGCCTTTAAAGAAAATAAAAAAGGCATATGATTTACAAAAAAATGAAACTGAAAGTGGTGGGATACATGTAAGGTTTTTTTTCTATAGATTGGCAATAGGCTGTAGTTTATGTCACAGCCATGAACCACGATAAGTTACTTGCTATTGCTAGTTAAAAGCAGACAGTATCACACATTCTTGTTCTAGGCATAGATAGATATAAATAAACTATATAATAAATGCAAAATCTATAATATATCTCTCTCTCTATATATATGTATATCTCACAAAAGTGAGTACACCTCTCACATTTCAGCAAACATTTTGGTATATCTTCTCAAGGGACAATACTATAGAAATTAAACTTGGATATATGTTAGAGTAGTCAATGTGCTGCTTGTAAAGCAGAATAGATTTACTGTCCTCTGAAAATAACTCAACATACAGCCATTATTGTCAAAATAGCTGGCAACAAAAGTGAGTACACCCTAAGTGAACATGTCAAAACTGTGTCCAAAGTGTCAATATTTTGTGTGAGCACCATTGTTATCTAGCACTGCCTTAATCCTCCTCGGCATGGGATTCACCAGAGCTGCACAGGTTGTTGCTGGGATCCTCTTCCACTCCATAATGACATCACGGAGCTGCTGGATGTTAGACACACAGTCCTTCTCCACCTTCTGCTTGAGGACGCCCCACAGGTGCTCAATAGGGTTCAGGTCTCCATCACCTTCAGCTTCAGCTTCCTCAGCAAGGCAGTTGTGATCTTGGCGGTGTGTTTGGGGTCGTAATCATGCTGTTCGGCCCAGTTTCTGAAGGGAGCGCATCATGTTCTGCTTCAGAATGTCACAGTACATGTTGGAATCCATGTTTCCCTCAATGAAGCTCCCCAGTACCAGCAGCACTCATGCAGCCCCAGACCATGATGCTACCACCACCATGCTTGACTGTAGGCAAGACACAATTTTCTTGGTACTCCTCACCAGTGCGTCGCCACACATGCTGGACACCATCTGAGCCAAACAAGTTTATCTTAGTCTCATCCGACCACAGGACATGGTTCCAGTAATTCATGCTCTTGGAGAGGTTGCTTTCAGTAAACTGTTTGCGGGCTTTCTTGTGAGCCAGCTTCAGAAGAGGCTTCCTTCTGGGACAACGGCCATGCAAACCGACGTGTTTTAGTGTGCGGCGTATGGTCTGAGCACTGACAAGCTGGCCTTCCGCTTCTGCAACCTCTAAAGCAATGCTGGCAGGACTCATGCGTCTGTTTTTTGAAGCCAGCTTCTGCACCTGACGCACAGCACGAGGACTCTTCTTCTTTAAATGACTCTTGCGCGGCCTGTTCCGAGTGGAACCCGTCTTGGAAAACCTCTGTATGACCCTGGCCTGTACCTTAACTCATTTTCAGGGTGTTACCAATCTTCTTATAGCCTAGGCCATCTTTGTGGAGAGCAACAATTCTAATTCTCAAATCCTTAGAGAGTTCTTTGCCATGAGGTGCCGTGTTGAACATCCAGTGGTCAGTATGAGAGAATTGTACTCATAGCACAAATTTTAACTGCTCTAATACAAGATACACAAATTTGTATGTTCCTGTCAAGCAGACAAAAACATGAACATGATTAATAGGACATGTGGCTTTGCATGGTTAAACGACGTACAGCTATTATCACTTAGGGTGTACTCACTTTTGTTGCCAGCTATTTTGACAATAATGGCTGAATGTTGAGTTATTTTAAGAGGACAGTAAATATATACTGCTATACAAGCAGCACATTGACTACTCTAACATATATCCAAGTTTCATTTAGTATAGTATTGTCCCTTGAGAAGATGTACTAAAATGTTTGTTGAAATGTGAGGGGTGTACTCACTTTTGTTAGATACTGTATGTATTTGTATATATATATATAAATATTATTTAAATATTTATATAAAAATATATAATTTTCTTTAACATTTTTTTAGTTAAAAGGAAACCAAAAAAGTATTTATACTGTATTGTTCTTACATAGTAATTTATTATATCTTTTAAATTTTGTATGGCAACTATTACATGAGATATATATATATATTAGTACTATATGTATTTGACATATAGTACTATGTCAAATACACACACATATAGACATATAGACAGACACACACACAGACAGACAGACAGTATAGATGTATATATCGTGTTACATGTACAAAGATCTATAATTGTATTTGAGTTGAAATGTATAAGTGTGATTCATTGTACAACCACTAGATGTTGCTCTAGTTACAGTAGAGACAACCCTCTTCACTTTGAGACTTGCTATGAAAATGAGCCCATCACAAATGTTGCCACACCTCAGTCACATCAGTTCCTGTCTGATAAAACTAATGCTGCTATTTCATATAGCGTATTACTTAATGAAAGAAGCTTCAAATCACAATGTCAAAATATTATGTAATAAATAATACTTTTCTTCACAATCAAAACCATTTACTTACTGTCCAGGTGCTTTGGGATGCTGCTGAGTCCTGGTCAGAAAGTTCGTAACAGCGACATGCACCTCCTCGACATGGTGAGACACATTTCTGGAGTTTTCCCCCAGTATTCTCGCAATGTGACTGCTCAGGGTTGAGCTGTTATAGCTGTACCTCAGGCTCAATATTAAATGTTAACCTTTCTGTTGCCAATTTTAGAAACACTTAATGGAAATATAGGCTTTTTATTATTCATTAAAAACATAATTTTACAAAGGCCCTTGAGCAAGTTAAGCAATGGCGATTTGCACATCAAGACTAAAAACAATTAGCAGTTCAATCATGCGTAATTGGGCTCACAGGGATTCCTGAATCAAACATCCTATAAGGCTTAATCTCATACTTTTCCTCAAGAAGCTTGTTGCCATCTGGATGGTTTAGACAAATGTCATCAATTGATACTGTGCCCAAAAGTGTCTTTTTTTTTTCTTCGTTAATGCAATTAATCTCAAATCTGCTTTTTCCTTTTAATGTATACTGCATGCTGTTTGAGTTCCTCTTCTAAAGAAACAAACCAATTATGTATAAAAAAGATGTCTTATTAATGCTTTAGCAGGTGTTTTTCACTTGATTGAATGTCATATTTGTGGAGTTTAAATGATATTCAATGAAATCCTGCGTCGCAAAGACTGCAAATGACTCAAATGGGTTTGATTTATAGATATTTAATTAGCCATTAAAAAAATCTGTCTCCATTTCGTTCAACCAGTTTTTAGAAATCACACTCAATGAATAAACGCTTGTCCTAAAAGATAAATGCATTTGCTATCTTAAATTTAACACCGTTAAACTTATTTAATGAATATTTAGTCATTATAGAAGTAGGGAAAACGTGATCATTTTTGTGTGGTTGTGTTTCAAGGAGTCTATGGGCAAGAGTGCCGATGGGAAGGCGTATGTGATCACTGGCACCTGGAATCCGAACACTCCGGCTTTCCAGCCACTGAACGAGGACACGCCGAAAGGTGAAAGCTAATACACAATCCTTTGAAACCGTGAAACTCGTTCACTTCTCAAGTGTCTCTAGTTCTTTTCATTGCACATCAAGCTGTGGCCAAGTTTACAGGTTTCACAGAAATTCACGCTCTTTCCTGCCATCTTTTGTTTCCTTCTCACATTACTTGCAAGCCATACAGTTTTCAACACTTTGAGCATGTTGAGTTTCTGTTCCAGCAGCTTTTCTTATCATGGACAAAATGGGTACCATCTCTCACTGACAGCAATATAGTTTGAATTCATTTCCATCTCAATTTGGCCTGAACTAGAGGTTGACTAAAAGGGTTTCATTAATGGATCATTATTACCAATATGTAGATAATTATATACATTTACAAATACATTTAATGTTACAGTCATTAATGTATGTCTATGTGTCTATATGTTTAATTTGATATAATTTTAATTTTGTATAATTACTTTGTTTTTTTTAAGTATAACTCTAGTAGTTCTTAACTACTAATAAATTACAGAATATAATGTGTTAAACATACATTATATAATGCATATACATTACATATATAATATATATATAATTTAATATTTCATTCATACATTTTATATTAATACCATATACAATTTAATTATATTAAATGAAATATACATATACATAAAGGTTCTTTATGTATATGTATATTTCATTTACTATAATTAATAAATTACAATAAATTACATAAAGGTTCTTTTTATTTATTGACAAATTGTTTAATTTTATATAATTTATATTGTTTAATTAAAAATGTTAAAAATTATAATTTATAAATGCTAATGTTTGATTTTGTACAATTTAAGTCATGAAATATAAGAATATATAATTCAATTTTATATAAATATATTTAACAGTTAACAGTTCAAGTTTATTGTCATATGCATATTAGTAGAGTACCACAGCAATGAGATACAATGTGCCTTGGCACTCTCTCAGCACCAGTCAATAAATTACAATTAAAATAACATTAAAAACATCCAAGCACAGTAAATATAGTAACTAAGCTCACACCTCAACCCTCTGTCCTGTTGTACTATCATTCAGTAGCCTTATTACCTGAGGGTAAAAACTATCCCTGAAACGTGATGTGCGCGGTGGGATGCTCTGTCTCCCCGATGGAAGTTGGGAGAAGAGATTATGTGCAGGATGATTAGAATCCTGCATAATACCTAGTGCCGCCTTAGTACTGCGTTTCCAGTAAATATTTTGGAGGGGTTCAAGTGAAACCCCAATAATTTTAGATGCAGTTTTGACCACCTTTGTCAGAAGATACAACTTGGTCAGGTGAAGTAGCCCTGCCAATCCACACTGCAATGTTACCTATCAGTATACTCTCAATTGTACAGTGGTAAAAGTTCTATAGAATGTTAAGGGACATATCATATTTCTTGAGAGATCTCACAAAATAAAGCCTCTGATGTGCCTCCTTAATGACACAGCTGATATGGAAGGACCATAAGAGGGAGTCTGAAATTTGGATGCCTAAGAACTTAAGAATTTAAAGTATAAACTTTTTAATATACATTATGTATAGCATTTATTTATATAAATGCATTTATATATAATTCCTTTTTTTTTATTGTAGTGTACTATGAAATATGCATAAACTTTAATTGATATATATGTTTGTGTGTGTGTGTATATCGTATTATTCAAAATTCACTCAAAAATATTTGAATATTCATTGACAAGGCTGTTTGTAAATTTAATGACAAGAAACCATATTGATTAAAAAATAAATAAATGTCAGGATGACTGAGTGGTCCAACTTGGAAACAGGAAGCAGTAATGGCCTCTTTATTTAATGACTCCAATTACTAGAGTACCTGCAATCATCATCATAGTATACTTTATGTACAGTTGATTTTGTATGATATGAGGCCAAACTGGATTCCGATTGCCACCTCAGTTTTAATAACGTTTAATTCAGCGGCCTGAATGAACTGAGTTTTTCATTTCAAGTCTACACTTTATTACACTCTCAGTAAAACATTCCTCGGACCTCGTTGTGGTTTTGTGTCCGTTTGTAAGTCTCAATGGAGACCCACCACAGATCTTCTATTATTTACCTTCCCATCTTTCTCACCACCACCTTTTCTGACCTGACTCTATCGTAATTGGAATCTATTTTCAGCGATTCCCTCATAAATCTGTTGCTATTGTCGTTCTTGTTTCCTGTTAATTGAAATAATAAAAGCCCCTTAGCCCCTTGAAACAGGCTGGTTTTCACTGATTTGTGGTTTGTTTCTATCAGCGGTCTGGTTTGTTTCGTAATTATAGGGCTCACCTGAGAGAGAATTAGCAGTTCCCAGAACGCTACATTCTGCCACACTCGGCTGGAGATATATAACCTGAGTTTTAGAAATGTTACTTTTTTGCTGTATGTCTGATTCGACTCTTAGTTTCAGATTAAACGAAATGAAACGTTACGTGACTGAAACTTTTACACTTCCATGAAAAGAAAATGGAATGGGGAAATAATGTGGGCGGGGCTTGATTTGATCTGTGTGAATTTGATTGGATGATGAAAAGTGGGTTTGTGATATTACTGGTTAATATTTTCCCTGCCCACATCGAGGCAGTTTTGTCTTTAACTGTGAACTTTTCCCCCTCCAGATAAGCAGGTTTACATGACTGTGGCAGTGGACCTTGTGGTGACTGAGGTTGTAGAACCTGTTCGGTTCCTTATGGAGGCGCTAGTGCGGGTCTATCCGGCTAATGAGAGGTTCTGGTATTTCAGCAGGAAGGCCTTCTCTGAAACGTTTTACCTCAAGCTCAAACAGGTACACTCCAAAACCACACACACACAAAAACATTTACATATTATTCATAGATGGTGAACCCTAAACTCAAGTGCTTTACACATAAATATTTTGATGAATTTTTGGGTAAAATTAGTTTATTTCATTATTGTCATTACAATTAAAGGTGATAACATCAATTAAATAATTGGTAAAAATGAAAGCAAGAAAGAAAAAAAGATATATATTATTTTATTTATTTTTAAATATGCGCGGGTCATATTGCACCCTATTTCACAATTTAAAAATAAATAAAAAGAAAAATATATATATATCACCTTTAATTGTTATGAAAATATTGTGATGGTGCCAAAAGTCTTTTATTTTATCAGGGTTTTAAAATAAAATATCTTATTTTCAGGGGTAGAAAATATGACCTGGAAACAATCCAGGTCTTTGTAAGATTCACCCATTTCTCATGAAGCCTGTAAACGCCTATGAACAGTTCTAGACTGCGATATAGTGGCTGCGCAGATGGAGAACAAACCTTGAGGAAGGAAGTGAGCTTTTGTGAAGGGTGAATAGGGGCAGTAACTCCTGGAAGCTGTGAAGCGGCAAATGGAGGCTTTGTATAATTCGTAGCTTAATAAGAGGCCCGGCGCTCATTATCATGCTCAAGTAATTAGAGCTTGCAGCCTGCATCTCTGCCTGATTGCCTCCGTAGCTATCTTATCGCAGAGAGAAAGAATGCCTGGGCTGTAGTTAAAAGCTAATTAAAAGATAATATTATGGCGTTAGCGATAGACCCAGCCCATTCTCCACGTTATTTTATTATTCCGTATTTGTTTACGCTGCTCATTAGGTGCGAGGAATTAGCGTATAATTATTCTAGCTGTAAACATCATTCTTCGCCTGTAGTACTGGAAACGACGGTTTACATAAGAGCCACATGGTGCGAGGGAAGCAGTGTCAATAGAAATGTTTGTAAGAGTTACTTGAAGCGGAGTAGTACGGGTGTAATCTCTGCAAACCTCTTTTTCTATCGCCACGTGTTTTAATTGTGTGTAATTATGTATTTGTCGTTTCCCCTGAAGCGGTAGCAAAGGTGAAGCTAACTTTGAATGATACGCTCTCGCTGCACGCTTGCCTATTAAAGGAACAGTTCATCTATAAATGAAAATTCCTACTTTATAATATTTCATTTATATAATATTTACACAATATTATTTCTATCATGTATTGTGAATATAGTAATGCATCTAAATATCTTGTATATCTATATTACTATCTGACATATTACATTCATAAAATTTGTATGTTTCTTTATATAACTATTGTATGTATACGTGTGTATGTATATATAATATTATTTATGTATAGACACACATATTTATATATAGCATGTTTTTGCTCTATATGTTTGTAGGGCACTGTGAAGGGCAGCCAGGGAGATGCCATTTATGAAGTGGTCAGCCTGCAGAAACACACAGAATGTGCGGCTGGAACTCGTGGCCTCCTGCAGTCTTCCACGGAGGAAGAGGAACCAGAGGAAGGTATGTCACCGTCTAGTTTATCAGAGTGCTTTTCTGTGTTTTATGTTTGTTGCCATTTTGAGGCCTCCATTTTAAGGTGAACTCCTTTAAAGGAACCCTAGACTTTTGTAGTCTGCTGAAGTCCACTTACAATGTTAGTCATTTAAATTTATGGGACCATTTTCCACACTATCTCTGACTTTAAAGTCACCATGAAATCAAAATGGACATTTCTTAGTTTTTTACAGAATTATTATACTTAGGGGTGTGACGGTATTTATATAACCGTGAGACCGACGGTTATAGTTCAACACCGTATTTAGAACTCTATGACCGCCAAAACCGTGTTATTAAAATATTTTTTACAAAAAATTGTTATGATACATTTTTTAAATACTAATATCAGCTTACGAGGGAAACGGAGGCGGAGTTAGTGGTGCTTCGGAGGCTGCTACTGCTGGAGATGATTCAGGAGAGGTCTGTGCACCCCCCCTTCTAAGAAGAGAAATTTTGGAGATCTCCTTAATTAAACGGAGGTTTGAAATCTCTGCCCCTTTACCGATCAGAGCGCGCGCTGACACGGAGTAAAGCCTTGTTTATACTCGACGCGTCCGCACGAGCGCAAAGGTGCGCGCGTCAAAAACGCGTTGGGTGCGCAAGACCCCATTTAGCTTGGCTGTGTGCACGGCTTTTTTTTGTAACAGCGCGCGCGGCGCCGCATCCGAGGATGAACGACTTCAAGCCGAATCTGCCCGAGCATGTACGTCTCACACCACCGGCACCCAGTTTGAGCGTCTAAATTGCAAAGTTTTTTTTTTTAAGGATTTGTTTACTGTGTGTGATTCATTTAATGGAAAGCACATTCACTTCTAGTTGTCTTGCTGTTCATTTTAAATAAACGTAGAGCAAGTAGCTAATCAGTCTTTGCTCGTTCATTCAAACTTAGTTGTCCTATAACAGACGAACGCCCTGCCCCCCCTCCCCCGACGACGGTTATGTTACGAACCGTCACGCTTGACTCCCGTCATAACCGTCATCACCCCTAATTATACTTTTTAATACGATTGGATCGGAAAGTGATTGAACCTTGATACCTTAAAGTAATTTCATTTCCATGAGAGTTTACAGACTTGTCCAACTCACCCCATCCAGTCTCACAAATACTGGGGAAAATAACCAACTCTAAACTTATTCAGATGGCTGTTCAGAGTGAGAGGGTGCAAACTTATGTGTGTACATGCGGACGTAAAAAGAACAGATTGCCTTGGCAGCAAAGCTTTAGCAGGTCCATTTGTTTTGCTATTTTTTTATTTTTATATGTCAATGCTAACACATTAAGTGAATGAGATCATCCGTCCAGATTTTCCCCCCACCAAATTTTAACATGATCAACATTCGCGTCCCTTACTTTTTCCTGCCTGGGGTTTGGCAGCGTGAATCCATCGCCAGCTTTAATTTAGTCTCGGCCCGTAGCTCGAGGTGAAGTGTATCAGCCGTTTGTCTTTTTCTCCAAGCGGAGACGGCCTGTGTTTTTGAAAGTGTGCCACAAGCCGGAGATGTGAAACCCTGGCGTCTTTCAAGTGGTTATCAGCACCCATTTCAGAAGAATGGATTCCAATTTGGTTAAGTGGTATTGGCTCTCGGTCTCTGTGTGTCATCTGACCACCTGGAACTGGCCGCGTTTTCTTTTTTCTTCCTTTGTCTTGTGTTCTGCTCAAGTGGTCTTTTCACACAACATGGAATAATGATTACATGGGTTTGAGTAGCTTTTTAAATATCACTTATAGGGCTGTTCTGCACTATTTACTACCTAATGTCCGTGAACAGTGTGATAGTTGCATATTTTAAATGTGTATTTGCTAAGTGTCCATTATGGGATAAATGCTGTCTGAATATTCCTAGAATGTTTTGTATAGTATACTTGGAGCTGAGAAGAATGCAAAGCTGTTTACATAATATAAGTAAAGTTGAAGGTTGCCAGATTTGGAGATTGTTTGTTTGTATTTTAGATTTCCGTAAATACAGGGACTCCATATGTTGGCAAAACAGAGCTTGAGTAAAATGCGAATATGTCTTGTTACGGATAGATTTCCATAGGCTAAGCAAATACTTTTTCCACATGGTCAGATCTCATATTTGATAACATGAAGAATGTAGACCTAATTGAACTCTTGTAACTCATAAATCATTTGAAAAATGTATGAATATATGAACATTTAAAGAGAACGTATGTATCCAGAGTAAATTTTGGCACACTTTATTTATTTATTATTTTGTCAACAACTAGCTGACTAATCTACCTTAAGAGCCACATTTGTACAATCAGGCCGGTTTAACCCAATTGACTGGCAGTTAAAAACTATTTGAACAGTGGAACAGAATGCACACGTATTTTTTTTTTAAAGTGTCTTCAACCTTGTGCGTTCTTGAAAGCACAAAAATTGTGGCAGAAAAAAAAAGACCAGAGATGCAATACAACAGCAAATATGTCTGTCAAAATATATATATATATATAAACATACATAAATGTATATTAATGGCCACTTGACCAATGCCAATTTTACAATCAATATGTGCCAGTGCTAAAGCATTCTGGGTGGTCCTTAAGGTGGTTTGTTAAAATCCATAACCCAGAGTATGAGTACTATTGATAAAATTGACTGAAATGGTCACAGATATATTGTCATGCATAAATTCTTTACCACCAAAATATTTTCCACCTACTCTTGCATTTAATCAATCGGAACTTCTTTTGCGTAGCTTCTCTCTTCTTTTGTGAAATGAATGAAAGATTTATTTTTATTCAGCCATTTATTCATCTATTGATTTGTGCAGTTTATTCTGGTCTGTACAAGAAAGTCTTTGTAAGTGTTCGTCCTCGCCATCTTTCTGTACCATTTTTTAGCTCTAATGGGGAGCCAGATGGAAAAGTAGATTCATCCGCCTACATCTGCTACCGAACCGCCATGTCACCTTGCGACAGAGGCTCTGCTCAAGGCTGATCTGTCTTTCTCTCCGTTTCGCTCTCTCTCTCTTTCTCACTCTCTCCCTATCTCTATCTCTCTCACTTCTTGCAACGTTGCCAAGGTACTTGTGCAGTAAATGTAAAAAGAAGCCCTTTAAAAGCATTTCAAAAGAAACCACTGTGTTCCAGACCTCACATCGGGGATTGTAAAACGTACAGCATTTGAGGCTCTTGCTGGAGGTCGTGAACATTGTAAATGGGCTCAAAAAGCAGTGCCTTGTGAGTCCTTTATTTCGGTGACCCATAAATTTATCCCTGCTTTCAGCACTAAAACGTTTTTTGTTTTGTATTCGAAGATCTTTACATTAAGACTCGCTTCTTCTTGCCATAATAACCATATGTTTAATCACAGCACTCCCAGTGTTTTTGGTCTTACATAGTTGTCGCCACCAGATGCATTGGCATTCATTCCCTCTGTAAACATCTTTACGGGCGGCCATTTTGCGGACACAGACCTTGAGATTTGGGCAGAGAGTCTGCTGGTCGGCTCTTAATGACCTTTGCAGACATTAAGTCCAAGACATTTTCTTTATCACCTCAAGGCGTGACAGTAATCTTGGCACTCCAAGGCCCTGACTAATGCAGGTGTGTATGGCGTATAACTCAACTCGGTCTTCTGGATTCTGCAAGGACGATTCTGTAATTTGTAAGTCGTGCAGCATCCTAACATGTCCGAATGGTGTCATTTGAAGTGATGCCAAGCAAGGAGTTGAAGATTGATGTTTGCCTACAACATGCATATCTTGTACCTTGAGACCCAGGGCGTAGACTCTCACCAAAGGGTCACGACTTGAGCTTAACCGAAAGTATGCTTCCCTAGTCCTCGTTTCGCTCTGGCACGTGGACCGTCTGTGTGATGTAGTTTTAGACTGCATCCGAAATCGCATTCTTCCCTAATATATGAAACCATATGTGAAAAGAGTAGTAGGTCCTAATTCACAGTGCTCATAAAAGAGTAAGCAAAAAGTACGGATGACTTGCTACTTCCAGTGATATTCTGAAGTGTGCATATGATGGGCACTTTACTATCCCATGAGGCCACAGGAGGGGATTTGTGAATGCAAGTGAAGCAATGCAATTGATGCTGGTAGGTCACATGATAATGACAACATGTACAAATTACATTCATACTATAGAACATACTTTTTTTAACTGCCACAAAGTAATTATTTATTAAAAAATAACTTTCTTATTCAAAACTTATTTTACTTATTCATACCTAGACATCCTTTGTAATCAGTGCAAAACCGTCTGGACTGATTTTAGCGCTTGAAAAGAAAGATCTACTAGTGTGCACATGCTGAACGCTGAAAGGCTTGCACGTTTAATTGTGCACGAGATGGAAAATGAAGTATACCTGAGCTTTTAGTTCTTATTAATAATGATTGGTTACATTTAAGTATCTCTCTCAAAGCGTGGCGGCAGAATGTGGCCATAAGTGATGAAACCATTTTTTTTTTTTTTTTTTTTTAAGTGCAGTCACATTCCCTCATGGCGAAATCCAGTCGTTTCAATTGGAATCCATGCAATCTGGAATTTTGCGAATTTCATTTGGATGAAAATTTTTCCCAAGCTGATTTTGCAACTGGTTCAAGTTGGTCACGTAAATTCTTGTTAACAAACAGAAAGGTGCTTGGTTTCAAAGTGACTTTTGTGTGAGTGGTGTTTCATACATCACTACACTATTGTCAATGAATGGATCTTTTTTGCCCGCAAAATTTTCCGAAAATATCCTGAAAATGTTGCTAATGTGACCTCACCTTTTAGTTATAGTTTTTGTCTTTTGAAAACAATACATTTCCTTTTATTCATATGTTTAGTAACTGCCTTCAGATTTTAGTCAGTGGAAATATTTAAGTTGATGATTAAAGTCCAAAATGAGCCCATGTATTTTATCATTTAAACTTATCATCTAACAAAAACAAGTACACTATTGTAAGAGTATTGTGAATTATCTATGCTTTAGTTTACTGTCTATCATTTCTTGCACATTTACTAGTACGTTTGCAATATTATGTTTATGTTGTCTACATATCTTATTAATCTCATATGTATAGGTTGCGTTTCAGTGAGTTTATTAACCCTCAGGCATCAGTTTACCGCTACATATCGAATCAATCCACAAGTAATTTTGTGGTGTTATTTTTTTTTTTATTGTTATATTTTTGTCTACAGTATGTTTTAATTAAAACATGTTGTGCATTTTTCGTCTCGTAATTATTGGCAAAACAAAACAGTAACAAACATTTGTCTTTTGTCTCGCTGTACAGATAGCGACAGTGAGATCTATAGTGGGACAGGAGACGTATCAAAGGACTGTCCCGAGATGATTCTGGAATCCTGGGCAGGGATCCTCAAGAGATGGTGAGACTTGGCTTGACTTAAAACATTTAAGTTTGTAGTATGGCCAGATTTGGAGTGCACAGTCCATATTGAACACAACTGCAGAAAAACGAACTCCGTTGTGCTGCATTGACACCGTCTGTCTTCCACCTGTCAGGCAAGGAAACCTGTTGGTGCGACCAAAGGGTCTGTCTGCTCTGGTGAAGCCTGGGATCCCAGAGGCCTTACGAGCTGAAGTATGGCAGCTCCTGTCTGGCTGCCACAACGATCAGGCTTTGCTAGAGCAATACCGAATCCTCATCACCAAGGTAAGAGTGGACAACCATCACAGCTGTTTTTTTGTTTTCGAAAAGCCCATTTTTATCCAACTAGCATACATGCGTTTCTCAACAATGCAGTTGCAAATCCACATTTAGGGTCTTTTTATTTTTTAAACATTGCTATTTTAGTAAGTTTAGCTAACACTCAACAGCAAAGTGTACCATGGGAGGTTGTATGCATTGGTTGGTTTTGAAGTGAAATTGAAAATTGCTTTGGACCTGCTTTGGTCTTTCAAAGTGCTCTCGGCGAGGAAAGGCAGCAAGTCTGAAGAACTGCGTTTTCAAGCGTAAAATTGATGATCTTTACTTCCTAGTTTCCGTTTTGTCAGCGTGATGAGCCTTTGTAGTATAGCAGGCTGTTTATTTACAAAACATATTTTCTACCCATATTGATGCTTCGCTCAGATGTTCATTTAACCCTCTGAACTCATGGAAACGGAGCTAGTCGAATGTTTAGCAGTGCTGAGAGCGCATCTAATTGCCTTTTCCAAAAGCTATGTCACAGCAAATTCTAGTGATTCCAGCACAACTACAGATCTAAGACAACTGATTAAATGGGATAGGACTGTGCTTTTTTGCAAGGTTCAGATTTTGTAAGCTATTTCTTTCATGTTGTTCTTGTGGTCAGACTGGTTCTCATGCCAAGCATGGTCAGTGTCTGGAACGTTCACACACTGAACCAACAACTGTAGACTCAGTCCGAAATGTGGATTGGGGTTTTAGCCACTATTTTAGCAAGAAATGTTTTCAGTAATCCAGCTCAGCTCTGATGCTTGTTATTGTCCACTTTTGTTTATTTGTTAGTTTATTTTTATTTATTTATATAATGAAGATTAGTCAAATAAAGTCACCATGAAATGTAATATTGAGGTCTACATTTTTTCTTGTTTGAGAAGCCGGATATTTGACACAATAGGGAAGAAAAGACTATCGCAACTTCTGTTTCATACCGACTTTTATAAATGTACATTAAATCATGATGCACATCATATATTTACATTTTACTTTGAGTGAAGAGATTGATGGATGGGTGGATGGAGAGATGGGTGGATGGATAGATAGATAGATGGGGAGGGAGAGAGAGAAAGGGATGGAGAGATGAATAGATTATTATTAGTAAAAACAAATGATAAAATTGTGGTATGCCAGGTGGTAAATTTATCAGCAAATGAAAAACCACTCCTTCAGGTCATTTTCTGAAGCCCAAGCAGGTTCTTTTGCATTCAGCAGCTAGAGCAATTCTACTTTCAAGCCTCTGAGTTCGTAGGATTTGTTTCCAAATTGACTAAAATTAATGTTAAAAGACAAAATGACTTTCGAGCAGTGTAATGACGGTGACCGGAGGTCAGCTGGAGGTGAGAATACTCCAGAACATCCCTGCATGACCTCATTCTGACCTGCCACAATCAATTTACTGTTTGGTCAGTGGTCCCCCCCCCCCCCCCCCCCAGCCATAACCCCCAACGCTCACCATGGCTTTTCGCATGCAACTCTTCATATAAACCCCCCACGGCATCGAGTATTATTTTAATACTGCATCAACAACAACATTGTAGTGAGCAAAATGCTCCTTTGTATGCTGATGGAGATATTTTTTGGTTAACTTGGGTTTTTCTTTATGTGGAAGCTAATAATCATTGCTTTAGGAGCAACTCCTGAAATACAGCGCAATAATCAATGCCAGGCAACGAGAATGGTGATGAACGGGCGCCATAAAATACCTCAGCAGTGCAAGAGAGTGTCGAATGGTGTGTGGGTGAAGTCAAAGAATGAATGAAAAAACAGAAAAGGAAGAGCGAGTGGAAAGATTTTGCCATGTAGCGTAAATCCTACAGTTTCTCCCGCAGCCATTCCAGTCTGGCCTTTAACCATACACTGTACTGATTTGGGCGTTATGGGGGATGGAGAGTATAATTTAATTTGATGTATTCTTCACTGCAGGTCATGTCGATATAATTGTTGTGGTGCTACTTCCGTCTATCTACTTTTGGTAGGCTTTCCCCAGCAAATACTGATATATGTGATTTTAATTGCATTTGTAAATGATTAATTGCAAATGTCATTGATTTGAAATTAATTGATTTTGAAATTAAGTTCTGATTTTTTTTTCCAAACATTTGAGGGAGTTTGGAGTTCAGTGCTTGATGTTTCACATCATTCAGGTTAGTCTATCTTGTCTAATGTTTTTTTTTTTTCTCATCAAAAACATGATCCTCTTCTTTCTAACCTGTCTGTAATGGTGTCTGACCAGACAGTGTTTTAACACCGTCTTGAGTGTGGATTGTCCTTGCTGTGGATCAATGAAAATGCAACCCGTGTGGTGTTTCCAAGAGCGTGAAACTGACATTTCCACAACCTTTACTTCTCTGATGCATGAGGGATCTACCAAAGGTGCTATTCGAGTCAGAAATGCTTGAATCTGACAATATTTTTCATTTACAGACAAGAAAATAAACTTTTGATGACATTATTGGAAAGAAATATTCATACTCTTCCCTAAAAGTAGGCTTAATTTTCTTTTATTCAAAATATGCACTTTTCTTAATGATTCTACAGTCTACAAGATTGATTTGTTCTGTATGATACTTTTAAGAAATTTAAAAAATAAGTCAAATGAAATGTTTTACTTATTTAATCACTTACAATTTGAAGAGGCATGTGAAAGCACAATGGTAAGTCATTGTACTCAGCTGAGGCACACGGATCCTTAGGCTGGAGTAAATTGCTTGATTACAAGATTGTAACGGAGCATGAAACATCCCGACTGTCTCATGCCAAGAAGGATCTTTTCAGCCATTTAGACAAATCGCTGGGCTGTGTCCAACATTTCATATTAATATGAATTTTTCAACAAGACTGTTGTACCACCTTCTATTTCAAATGGCTCGTGGGATTGATTATGTAGTCTTCACAAGCCTCCTTAAGTAGATTACAGTCTTTATGGAGCATGTAATGAAATCTTTGATGGAGGATCATTTCAATACAATATTTTTTGCATATTCTGGAATTGCAAGAATAGTTTTTGTTTGTTGAGTGCGGGTGGGTTTGTGCAGTGTTGTCTAGTTTGAAAAAATCCCAGACTTAACGCTGAATGAAAGAAAATGTAAAAATGTAGCTATGTGATTTCCTATCACAAAGATAAAGGACCATTCACATTTACCCTTGCTTAACTCGAAATCCAGTCATTTCAGTAGGAATCCCCACGATCAAGAGTTTCACTCGAATGCGAAAAAGTGTCGCAGGTTTCGCTGATATTCAAGTTGGTCGTGTGAATTCGCCGCACTGACCAATAGGAGCTGCTTTGTTTGAAAGTTTCTTCTGTGTTTGCTATGCTTCATACATCGCTATGCTATGGACAAAAATTCGAAACTACGCTATAATGTGGCTGCACCTTGTTTTTAATCGCAAGCCATCTTTGCCTGTTCGTTCAATGCAAGTCTATGGGATTACAATTTTTTTTTACAGTGTACTCAATGATTGGCCTTTGGACCAGTAAGTGAGCTGCCATTTTCCCAGTATATGAGATGTTTGAGACTTGCCCACAATGCCATCCCAGTTTCCTCCGACCAGCTGCCCCTCCCTCACAATAGACCCCTGTTCCCAGCGCAGCCCGACATGTATCTTAATGCAGTCTACATCTAGTGACTGAACTGCCATTCACTCTGGACTATAAGGCTTCTATTAGTGGCCTCATCATACGCCCGTTCCACCTCCCTGAGAATCAATATCCCTCAAACAACATCATTTCATTCTCGCAACGACATGCCAGTCGCCAATGAAAAAGCATTTTGGGTTTGTTTTTACACATGCCTCGCTTTATGGCACTGTAAATGTTGGAAGAGTAGATGGGATAGGCCCCGCTCATAGCGTGTGTTATCAGACTGTGTCGCCGGGGTCAGCTCACTGCTGACACAGAAATGACAGTTTGCATTACTGAGAGACACACTTCATGCACTCGTCTCCTCTGGTCATGTGTGCAAAGGTTTGAATCACTGCTACACGCATGCCTCCGGACTGACTGCAAGTTGTTTGTTCAACATTTTAAACATGAAAACTTTTGAATGCGACTGATGTGATTATAAGGCGTAAGTGAACTTCGTGTCAGGTTTATGGTGATATTTTTATGTCTGAAAGACTTTTAAACAACTTGAAACGGCGTTCGAAGCATATACATATTTGTATTTATATGCAGGTTTATTTCATTTTCCAGTTAAGGGAGGTTATTTTTTAACTTTATTTTATTTATTCAGATTGATTGGATTGTGTATATTTTGAATTGGCTTTTTTTTTTTTTTTTTTTTTTTTTTTTATAAATATAATTTTGTGCTTTTGTCATTTTTATTAGTTTTCGGTTTTAGATTTTTATTTTGCTTTATTTTTTTTTCTTCAGTGTAAGTTTTAGAAATTTTTGTTTTTAAGTTAAAATTATACATATTTTATTACTGTTAGTTCCCAAGGAAACATTTACAATTTAAGTTTTTAAGTCTTAGTTTTTATATAATATGTATTTTCATTTTATTAAATCTATATTTTAATTAACAACAAATATTTGAAGATTGTTTTAGTTATTAATAACATCACTGGAAAAGTGAACTATTATATTATTGGTGAAAATTGTTATTCTCCACCCATGCGGGTGAAAAAGGCTTTTCAGAGAAAGCTGGAAAAAAAAAACTATTAATTATGGACACTAAGACCAGGGGCATTTATTAAAATTAAATTATGATGTAAAGTGTCCAGTTTGATTTCATTACTATTGCTGTAAATTATGCCAAATCAAGTCCAGCTGTCATATTGACCTGTACTTGTTCAGCCAGTGCGGTGATGAGAGCCAGAGTGCCCTTCCTGTCCCTGTACAGTCAGAGTCACTTGGATCAAAAGCTCAGGCACCAACAGATGAAGAGGATTATGGTCATTGTTTTCTCTAGCCTTTTCCTTTGTGATGAATCATTTATACAGGCCTCTAGCTTTTGTTCAGTAGTATCTTCTTCCACAAGTTATGGATCACCGTATTTATCAATTTTGCCGGAATGTGCCATTGTTTACTGCAGAATTCTGTGTTTTAATTTGACCTAAAATCTTGTTAATTAATAACCAGGACTATTTTTGTTGAATAAAACAACAAAGCTCAGTTGTGAATCTGTAACATTAACTACATAATTGTCATTATCTGCGTTTCCATTAGTCTTCAAATTGCGCGAATTGAAATTGCGAATTGAAAATGCACCCAATGGAAACAAGTAAATTTTGCACATATATCGTAAAAAAGTTTTTACGCTCGCATGAGGTGGTTTTTCAGGCAATTTGGGAGCAGAATATTAAGCAAAACTGCAATGGAAACATTTTTTTTTTTGGATTTATAGGTCACCTGGCGTCATTCTTCACATGATCATTCTTTACAGAAGGTGCGGTATGTTTGGTGACGAGACAGTTATTTATTAAACTCATAAAAGACAAAAGAATTATGGAAATACCGGGTTCTAAACAACAAAGAAATGCCACAATTTATCAAGACCTCGAAGCAGATAGCAGGGAGAAACACCCAGAAATATCTTATACGTGGCCACTCCCAAGTATAAGGGGCTTTCATTGCCATTAATGCTTGGATAATACACCTACATCTCCTTCAATTTAAAAATAATGTCTAGTGCGGTGACTACGATATAAGTAAACCTACTAACATCCGTTGCTATGATTTTTGGAATAACTTATCATGAGACGAAAAAATGAAGCTTTAGTCGCGTAGCATCGGTTAATGAAAACACTGTCATTTTGCAATAGTTTATTATCGACGTTACAAATTTGCGCAAAACTTTTGCAATATTTTCTAAATCGAAACCTGGTCATTGTCAATTAAAGGCAACCATTTAGTAATTTAGGTTTAATGAATATGGAACCCTGTTTCGGCTTCCACAACCCCCATTTAGATGAATAGGGATGCCAAAGGATTGCTTTTTCTGTGAATTATAGACTTCATTGAGTGCAGTCTGTAAGGACAAAGTTGCGTAAGTGTTGTCTATTTATTTTCTTTTTTCCAGCCACGATTTTTTGTCATCACATTCAGTTCAGGACCGCAAGCTCACAACTCTGCTAGGATATGAAATTGTTTTGCCACGGGGCTTGAACATTTAGCAGCAGTGCAGCTGTGCAGGAAACATTGGCTGTCATTCTCGTAATCCCTTTGTATTTTATGAGCTCCTCTTGTTGTAATTATGTCTAGCAAACTTGTCAGTAAATCTGCTGAAGATCTGAATTTGTGATTGTGTTAGAGAAGACTCGGGCGATGATATCCTTCCAGGGGAATGAAATCCCCCCCCCCCCTCGCAGAGTCTCTTAATTTGTTTGTTGCACCATGTCAGCTGCTGTGAGGGAGGGTCCTGGCTAACTGAAATGCCTGGCAACTGTAACCAAGGGGCAGGCATTGCTGCGCTTGGGCACTGGTCTGTGTAAGTGACTTGAAGCAGGAAGGAAAATGAGAACGAGGGATAATAAAACAGGGAGCTGTAGGAGATAAAAAGGGAGAGATGGAAGTCTGTGATTATTTTTGAATGGGGAAACCTCTTCAGGGTGTGCAGGAAGAGGGGGATAATGAGAAAAGAGGGAGAACATTGGAAAGAAGGAAAGAGAGAGAGCAGTGTGCTGTGAGGTGTTGTGTGAGAAAGAAGACCTCAGGTGCCGTCAAAAGGGGAGGGAGGAGAGTTGGAGAGATGGTGAGAGGGGAAAGAAGGGAGGGAGCGAATGTGATCGAGAGGCACAGTGGAAGAGAGAGTGAGACTGCGAAGGGGGAGAGGAAACTGTGAGCCACTCAGCATCTCTGAGCACCAGCAGTGAGGGGCTGCTCTCTTTTCTTCGGCTCATTTCTGCTTTGCCGCACGGTTTGGAATAGATCTGTTCAAATTCTTACTGTTCTCACCTTTTTACTGTCCTCAATTTAGAATTTTTTATTTCAAAGTGCATTTTGCACTCCGTACGCTCGGCGGGAACTGCTGTCACCTGCTTTGCCTCGCAGGTCGCAGAGAGCTGACAATAAGGACTGAGTATTTCAAAGGAGACTTTCTTACGGAATGTGTCGCAGGGAAGTTGGTGAAGAGATGACGAGGTCTACCTCAGAAAGAAAAAAGCTGGGCATGTACAACTAATCAGATGCAGAGACTGGCATGCCATGTAATGTGCAAAGCTTTGTACGGAACAGTGGATGGAAACTGAGAACATGTGGATTGCAGACAGGATGCCCAGTGCATGCTCTCCTGACGCTATCTGAGGAGACATCTTCATGTAAGCAGCTAAATACCTCTTTCGGAAAACACAGGTCTCTCCTTTTTTTACCGTGCCCTGCTTTTAATCGATATATGCATGGTAAAGTTCATGAAAAGTAATTGGATTGGAAGCAAAGAAGACCAAAGCCTTCGCTGTGGCCCCCCAGAACCTGATCTTGAAATTTTGATTAGTTCCGTTTTGCCTCGCTCAGACTCCTGCAGGCTATGAGCAGCGCTCTGTGCAGTGATAGCTCTGGCAACTCTCATATGCTGTCCTGTGTTTGTCTAGAGTGTCTGTGTTTTCATTCGGACTATAGAAAGGGGGTCGATTCAGTGGCCAAGAGGTGCCTATTCCAGAAGCAAAACAGGGTGCATGTTATTGTTCTGTGACAAACTAATATGATTGGAATTTTTTTGAGACATTTACAATTCTTGAAATACAAGTTTTGTGGGACTCAGGAGCAGGTATGACCCAAGAACTTTCTTGATATTTTTGTTACATTTATCTTATAATATGCTTAATCCTTCTTATATTGTCTTCACTGGTCACAGGAAACCGTTTGATCTTCATTTCCTTATCCAACCATCCTGCACATTTTACCCTTAAGAGGACAACTTAAGGAATTGGTTGACTTCATTGCAATGCTGTGGACAATTTTGCCATCCGGCCTTCAGCACAGACATGCAACCCTTTTGTGATTGTTCCTGTTTCCAGCAGCCTTAGTTTGTGGAGGAAATATCTCTGTCTGACAATTACTGAACTGCTCCCAAGCATGACTGATTTCAGAGGAGCGCAGGGCACCTTTTTTTCTTCTCCATATGGACTATATTGATTTTTGCCAATGCTCATTTCATTGAGATCCAGCCATGTGAAAGATCGAGGTAAAGGGGAAAAGACAGAAGATTGAGTTCTGCTGGAAGAGATTACTGAGAAGGCACAGACACTGGATCACTTTGCAGGCCATCTGCACTGCATTTAGGACAACGGAACCTTACCCAAGTGGACAAGGTCCAAGACAATGAACCGGTCGGGGCTGATCGAACCGGTCCCCACTGCGAACGGCAGCCTTAGCAGTCAATTTAGCGTGTCCCTAAACCACTCATGCCCCCTAAGCTGGGCACAGAATAAGGCTGTGGAGGCTTGCGTCTTAGAGACAGCAGTCATTGTGTTGCTGACTGTACTCATCATCGCCGGGAATTTGACTGTGATCTTTGTGTTTCATTGTGCCCCATTGTTACACCACTACACCACCAGCTACTTCATCCAGACTATGGCCTATGCGGATCTGTTGGTGGGGCTAAGTTGCCTGGTTCCCACCCTTTCGCTGCTCCATTACCCAGCTGGTATCCAAGAGCCAATCACCTGTCAGGTGTTCAGCTACGTCATCTCTGTGCTCAAGAGTGTTTCAATGGCTTGTTTGGCTTGCATTAGCATGGACCGCTATCTGGCTATTACCAAACCCCTCTCCTACAACCAACTGGTAACACCCTGCCGTCTTCGATGCTGCATCATACTCATATGGATCTACTCTTGCATGGTGTTTCTCCCTTCTTTTTTTGGCTGGGGTAAGCCGGGGTACCATGGGGATATCTTTGAATGGTGTGCCCACTCTTGGCCAACATCTGCACTCTTCACTGGCTTTGTTGTTTGCCTGCTGTATGCCCCTGCAGCCCTAGTAGTCTGTTTCACCTACTTCCACATCTTCCGCATCTGCCAGCAGCACAATCGAGAGATCAGCGAGCGTCGAGCACGCTTTCCCAGTCAAGAGATGGAAACTGCCGAAGGCGGCAACCAAGCAGGTCATGGGCCAGACCGACGGTATGCTATGGTGCTTTTTCGCATCACCAGTGTCTTCTACATGTTGTGGCTCCCCTACATTTTCTATTTCCTTCTGGAGAGCTCCCATGTGCTGGACAGCCCTGCCCTTTCCTTTGTGACCACCTGGTTAGCAATTAGCAACAGCTTCTGCAACTGCGTCATTTATAGCCTGTCCAACAGTGTATTCCGGCTGGGGATGCGTAGACTCTCGCAGACGCTCTGCTCCTCCTGCTCTTTCAGCCCCTGCACTCATGATGACAAGGACTTTAGCGAGCCAAAGCCGAGGCAGAGAGCCAACTCCTGCTCCATCTGAAGATCTGCAGAGGGTTGCTTGGATCAGTCCTAAGCTGCTAAATGTTGTTGCAAAGGATTTGGCCCAGATTTTAATGTAATTGTAACTTGTATTGAAACTTGGTAGGTTCTTATACAGAGATTGAAGAAACTATCCACAGTGATGATGAAGTTGTTTAGTAGTCATGTGATCTACATTTCTTGTAAATATTAGGAAGACATCTGCCTTGGTCCTGTAAATACCACTGAATGGTCACAGGCCACAACCTGTTTGACAACCTAGAGATATGCAGTTTAGAGCGTTTGGGAGCAAAATAATAACAAGACAAAGCCAGGGGGGTGGGTTCAAAGCTAGCTCTTTCTAAATATCGAGCACACTATTTAGGCACATTACCCATGTTGCTGGTTTGGTTGTTTTGATATTTGTTGAGTTTTGTGTAGCAGCTGTAACTATAAAAACAGTTGCTTTTCAAAAGAACGAGAGCTTAAAGACCTTGTTAACTAGTTAATTTTAGCAAAGGTCTTCTCCTAGTGGCTTTTATGGTACAGTGTGTCTTGAATCTAAAATAAACACAGGCAAATCATGTCAAAAGCGATGTAGCAAAGGACAAACAGCTTGGTCTGTCTTTATTTTTTCAAACTCTTCTTTCTAGATCTGATCTTTTTGTAGGAAATCTTGAAATACCACATGCGCACAATATCAACAAATGCCTGGAATAGTTGTGGACAGTAGTTTAGATCCCCAGTGGTGTAAAGCCTTAGCTGTTTGTAATTAGACCTATTTGCCTGCAGTGACCCTTTGAGAAACATGCAACTCAGCATGTTTTATTTTTTAATTTATATTTTTGCCAGATCAGCTTTAACTTAACTTGACGTTCACATTACCTTGAGCAGAGGTTTTTTTCCAACCACTTTAATGTATGAATGTCCAAAACATATTTTCTTTGTCTTAAGTCTATTGATTCATTTTTCATTCAATATTTTTTATCTCTTTCTAATGGATCTGTTAAGTAAAACTCAAGACAAAGAAACTCTGTTTTTTTTAAGAGTTTCAAATGGGTGATGGGAGAATATAATTGTTTTTCACATTCAAATACATGCACATTTTACAGCTATTTTTGGCATGTGATCTGCAGAAAAAACATGCATACACATTGTGTAGTTTTGTTTTTACATTATTCTGTTTTGTAAGATTATTTTATACATTCCATTTTTTTTTTACATTCCAATTTTCCGCAGTTATGTGGCTGTCTCTGAAACATAATACTTACTGTCATATTGGTTTCTGCAATGAATAATGGTGGTTTAATAAAAAACTGCTCCTGCTTTTTTTGTGCGCATATTTCAGTTTGTTTATGCCTGTAAACATTTATTTGCTGGTTGATGTTACAGCCCTGTACTTGCTAAACTTCCCAGCTCTAAAAAAACAATACAACTAGGCTAGTTGATGTGCAGTAGATGAAATGATGAAAAAGAATAGAAATTAAATGGTGAGGGTGTTTTTTTTTTTTTTTAAATTTAGAGTAAATTGACTATTTATTTTTCAACATCCAATGGATGTGAAACTAATGAACTAGCAGTATATTCCTGTATTTATTTTGCTGATGAACCTATGATGTCTCTGTCCGATTTTTTTCTGATTATGAAACAAGAATAAAAATACAATATATATATTTTTTTAGTTCAGAGATTTTTTTTTTTTTTTTTTTTTTTTTGTGAGGCACTTTGGTTTTGCTGTCGTTGCCAGTACAATAAACTTGAACAGTGAACACTGATTTGCGATGACTGCATCTTTTGGCTGTAGTTAATCTGGATTTCACGTCAATAAATTGAAATTTTATCACTTCTCATTCTCTTTCTCATTTCTCTTTAATGCACAACTTTCTTGATTTCAGCATGGTAAAGATCCTGATTCCTTCTACTTCTCAACGTATGTCGACCAACTGTGTAATGTTTCCAGAGCTGTCCGTAGAGGCTGGTCCGAGTTTAAGTTGCCCATGTCCTCTAAGGCTTCAGGGCAAACCGATCCCAGCGCAGCGGCCCCAGACTGCACACGCAGCAGGGTTGGCACTCGGCGGCTGCCTCTAAAAAGGTTACAGCTCCCTTCGGAAGGGAAATTACACATGTGCAGTTAGAGCGAGGGGGAAAATGAAGTGACCTTTTTGAAATCTAATGAGCACATCAAATGTTTCCATGATCATGGGAGGCTTTGGACCTTGGCACCAGCATGAATAAAACATGAGTGCTCTCAGCGGTCACTAACAGTACGTCTCATTCCGCTTGCTTACACTTGTTATGTGACCTTAAAATGCGTACAACATCCTTCTTGTAACTTTATCGTTACTCAACCCAAATACCTTTTCCTCTTTGATTTGAAGTGACAATTTCATATCTGTGGATACCAGGCTAAGGTCTCATTTAAAAGCAGTGTCAGTCTTGCTGTGGGAGATTTGAGAGCCTAGCGCATCTTAATGGCCGTGTGAATTGATGTTTGGCCGGCACAGCTGCTCCGGGACACTGGCCTTTGCCGACATTGAAGGTAATGTATGCCTCGTCACAGACGCTGACAAAAAAAGGCTTGTTTTTTGGCAAATGTATTAGTACAGGTTGTTTCAGGTCTTTTCGTAGCTTTATTTTTGGCCTGACACAAAATAGCAGGGTGTTATAAGTTAATTATTGGCATATTTTGTACTGTCGCTTGGTTTCCATTCTTTGCTGTCAGCTTACACAACAGTTGTTTTGAAATGTATTTAATTCTAGCAAATTTATGGTAAGATACGTTTCCTTGCAGCTAATGCTGTAAATTATATATATATCGTCTCAATAGAGTCAACTGTTTGTGAATTGGAGTACGCTGAATGAGTTGTATGTTCATTTGTGCGAATTGGACTACACTGCTCATGCTCAGTGCGTGCAGCCTGCGAGAAAGACACCGTTCTTGGCAATATTTTATTGTACACACACTTTTTATCTTGTATTCAGTTTATCTCATTGATGCAGAAAACACCTCAATAGAGAAAAGATGCAATTGTTCAAATTTAAGAATCAATATTGAGATTGTTCAAATGAAGATGCAAATAATTGGAAATTTCTAGGCAGTCCTAGAAATAATGTGTACTTTTATACCAATGCAATTTGTACAGCTATTTGAAATGAGGCAGGACCACAAGTTGGTTTGGTGTTGTGTGGTTCTTCATGTTTCAGGGTCTCATTATGGCTCCTCTCTTTTCAAGACTCTTGCTGATGCAGCCTGCACAAGAAAGCCTAATGTCAGCGAGATGCTGGCGCAGGTTGAGCTGAGGATAACAGCGCTGGTCCCTGTAATGTATTTTTAGACTGTACTCCGGTCATGCTTCTGTCATGCCCCTGACCTTTTTTATTGTACTTTTAGAAGAAGATTTGAGGTTAGGTGCTAAAAGCAAAACAGGCTTTATACTATCCTCATGATGTGCAAATGCTGCAAAAGTGTTAAGCACATATTTACAAAATGCTATACACGGTTCCTTTTGTGTTAATCTATCATGTTACTTTTAAGACTTTGTGTCTTGGCAAATATATATATATATATTTTACTAACAGGTTAAAGGGATACTCCACTTTTTTTGGAAATAGGCTCATTTTACAACTCCCCCAGAGTTAAACTGTTCAGTTTTACCGTTTTTGAATCCATTCAGCCGATCTCCGGTTCTGGCGGTACCACTTTTAGCATAGCTTAGCATACATCATTGAAGTGCACAAGACCATTAGCATTTCTAAAAAAAAAATGACCAAAGAGTTTCGATATTTTTCCTATTTAAAACTTGACTCTTCTGTAGTTACATCGTGCACTAAGACCGACGGAAAATGTAAAGTTGCGATTTTCTAGGCTGATATGGCTTGGAACTATACTCTCATTCCTGCGTAATAATCAAGAAACTTTACTGCCGTACCATGAGTGCAGCAGGCGTAATGATATGACGCAGCGCCTGAAAATAGGCCACCTTCCTTCAACACAACGGAACTATTTTCAGGCGCTGCGTCATATCATTACGCCTGCTGCTCTCATGGTACGGCAGTGAAGTTTCTTGATTATTACGCAGGAATGAGAGTATAGTTCCTAGCCATATCAGCCTAGAAAATCACAACTTTACATTTTCTGTCGGTCTTAGTGCACGATGTAACTACAGAAGAGTCAAGTTTTAAATAGGAAAAATATCGAAACTCTTTGGTCATTTTTTTTTGAGAAATGCTAATGGTCTTGTCCACTTCAGTGATGTATGCTAAGCTATGCTAAAAGTGGTACCGCCAGAACCGGAAATCGGCTGAATGGATTCAAAAACGGTAAAACTCAACAGTTTAACTCTGGGGGAGTTGTAAAATGAGCCTATTTCCAAAAAAAGTGGAGTATCCCTTTAAGTAAATATAATGAATAGGCTAATATAGTGCTTATACGAAATGCTTCTCTCTAGAGTTCATTTTTCTAGCGAACTAACCTGCTGTTGACACTAAATGCCTGAGCTGTTTTATTGATATCTTTCTGCAGTTGAAACACTGGTTGAGAGATGTAAACATATCTATCGATCAATCGTCTTTTCTTCTGCGCTTTTTACTGGTAGCAAACAGCATTACATTACCGTGCGCTCCCCCCTCTGGTTTGGACTGTGGCTAGCCTGCTGTTGCTGTTTTAGTCGTGCGACTGCATGCACCGAACCATGAAGACTGTACTGTTCGGGATGAATGCATGTACCGTTACACACCTAATATATGTATATTTATCAGGGGCGTGCGGTCCATATGAGCTGCGAATGCTCTGCATACCCAAGCCATTCGTGGATTTGCTAATTAGTATTAACGCTATAAATGACCGTAAATTCCCTTATTTAAGGTGTGGTGTACCATAATTTACCACCTTACATGATAGAATTTTGGTAATTCGTATGTACGTACATCTGTCATTTCTTTATTTGCCAAAAGATGGTAATTTTCTTCAAATGTGCCAGTTTCGGTAAGCGGATCCACAACAGTTATGGACTCTGTTATGTATCGTCATCACTGTCTCACGTTTTCATTGGTTTGCTGGCATATGGGGGATTTCATGCGCTGGTAAAGCTGTCCGCGAATCGTTTTCACAAGCGCTGCTGGTGCGGCTAGATCACGATCAACAAAAATCACATTGTATTTGATACAAAACCAGATAGACTAAATAAAATGAAAAAAGTCATAACTGAAACTATTTTCATAATATTTCATTTTGTTAAAAAATTTTTAGGAAAATTTTTTTTTTTTACCAAAACTTATAAACCGTTAAAGACTGACCTACTGTAAGAAAACCTACTGTAAAAATCCAAAGTTGTTAATCGATAGTCTATGCGTTTATTAAAGTCGTCAATTTGCATTATTTCAACTTGTTTTTTTTTAAAGAATACGTTTACTTTTATTCTTGCCTATATTTATTATAATTAAATTTTATTTATAATAGGCTACTAATATTTATCATATGATACTTTTAAAAATTCTTAATAAAAAAAAATTCTTCCGGCATACATTTAAACAGCCACCTGCCATGGTGTTTCTTATTTGTCTTCTCTGATTTCGACCTTTTGTGGTACCGTTTTACCGATTTAGACCTTTTGTGATACCGCCGTACCCTTTAAAGGTGAACCATGTATTTTCTACGAGACTACTGGCAATATAATATAATGTAATGTACATATTAAATATGCAGTTACTGTTGTTCAAAATCACGTCTATCACACTTGTTTGCTGTGGAGTCTTATGTTAAGTAGCATTTGCCTGTAAGAGTGAACTCTTTCGTGATTTCTCTTGATGTTGCTTCTTTTCTCGTATACTTGAAGACATTTGTTCACCCTGCCAGTCTTTCATCCATATTCATGGACACAACTGAGTGGAGCTTACCGTCCAGGCCTGTGAATATTTATGAAAATCCTTTGCGTGCCATATTATGAATTCCTTTTAATATTAA